GCAGGGGATCATCTCTGAATACTCTTGTACATAAACTACTTTTGGGATGGGTGTTGGCAGGTGAGCATGCTGGATTTAACTTTGTTAAAGGACTAGTTAGGAAGACACTATAGTGCAGTGGTTCCCAAACTTGTGCAGGGAAAGCCCCTGGTGGGCCGGGCCGGTTTGTTTACCTGCTGCGTCCTCAGGTTTGGCCAATCGCGGCTCCCAGTGGTTGTGCCCTTTGCTGCTCCAGGCCAATGGGAGCGGCTGGAAGCGGCGGCCGATCGAACCTACGGACACGGCAGGTAAACAAACCGGCCTGGCCCTCTAGGGGCTTTCCCTGCGCAAGCGGCGGAACAAGTTTGGGAACCATTGCACTATAGTGTACACTGTGCTTTAATGATGGGCTGGGGAATCATAAATGCATTATATAGCCTCTGCAAGTGACATAAACAGGGAAGATGAGTGGAAATGGTAGTTCCTTAGAAACGTCTTTGGGTCTCTGTTGAGAATTGCATCTGCAGATACCCGCTCTTGATACAGTCACCCATGCCAGTGAAGCCTTAATAGTCTCTCTACATGAGACATTAGCCTGTTTTACTTCTTGAACTTTGTCTATGTTACTAACATTACCTGTTGCTAGCATGTGTCCGCAGTGAGTGTAGCTGAACATAGTTTAGCTGCAAGTGTTGCTGACGGCAAACCATGGTCAGTAATGATTAAGAAAGCATCATTAAAGCTTTGTTCTTGGTTACACTTGCAATTGAACCATGTGCAGCAGTGGTTCAGCTACACCAGTTTCCAGTGCCTGTTGTTGGCAGCAGACAGTTTTTGTAGCATAGAGCAGGCCTTTGAACACAGGGTGCAGCTGTGTTAATTAGTCTGTGATTGTAATGTAATTACTCCTCCCCCCATCATTATATGCAGGGTTAGTGACACACTGTGAAGGAGATAAATTGTAAAAGTTCCAGAAAGCTTCAGCTGGAAGTTTCCACCAGTCTGGGAAGATGGGTAACTGGCAGAGAAGCCCAGGCTGGTGGAGTCTCATGCAGAAACTCTGTTTACAAGGTAGGAAAATAATGTTCTTTTGTGAAACTTGTGGATAACTGCAGGAAATTTCCCTGATACTCTTTTGAGGCTGTTTATGTTTTTAGCTCGTTTTTGCAGATTACTCACATGCTTGCTTGGGTATCTAAATCAAGTCTCTCTGGTGTTACTGTCTCTTTAAAATAGAATAAGCAGGTACATTCATGCAAAAAACAGCTGAGCAAAGCAGTAGCTAGGGGTCTCTGTGTAGCTACATTAGGCAGCAAAGTGGGAGACCCATGTTTAGATTTGAATTCAGTCTTCCACTCCTTCTGTCTGTAAATGACTTAATATTGCAAAGGAATGTGCTCAACCACTAGGGGTAAGGTGCAGGCCCTGTGACTTTAAACAAAGGAGATGTGCCTTATCCTCCATTGCAACTGCTACAAAGGAGGAGAGATTGGGAAATAAAAAAGAAGCTGCCTAAGTGTGAGAGAGCAGGGAAACACTACTCCCTTCCATCCGAGGCAGTGTGATTGGAAAGTCCTGCTCTGGAGAACAGGTAAGCTTACCCTGGAAAATAAGGGGGAGGGAGAGCAGAGAGACAATGTTTTATATAAGGCACTCTGACTCCATTTGGGTGTTTACTAATCCTGCCTTGCTTAATAATGTCAGTAGGTGAATGGTTCCAACTAGGCTTTGAAGTTAGAGCCATGAAGCAGAGTTCACGACATTGCGGCTCTTTGGCTGGAGAGCATAGTCTGCAAGGCCAGCTACTCGGATCTGTTACAGGTTGAAGCCCTTTGACAAAAAGGAAAATCTATGAACACCATTTTTATTCACTGAAAATTTACAAATTTATGGAGAGTTTTATATGGGGAAAGCAAGAAAAATTGTGGAGACCCAAAGGCAGCAGAATCCATTATTTTTGGCACCTACAATTTTCTTCTTGGCCTGATTAGCATTTGAGATTAAACTCCTGGGAATGGTTCCTGCCTCAAAAACATACATAGAGAAGTGTGTGTGCATTTTATACAATGTGGACCATGATTTTTTCAGTAAGGACATCCAAGGCAGCAGAGCAAGGAATCTCTCTTCCTCCTGTCAGTGTATAAACATAATGGCTGTGCCTACATGTGTCTTTTTCGCAAGCTTTCTGCCCACTGCACTACCACCAGTGCAGCTCCACCAGTAATGCTGAGAGTGCGAGCATGGGACACAGGGTTTTACCACTGTGTCATCTCACTCTAATTGCATCTGGTTTAGATGAGGAGGTTTATCAGCCTCTGTGTTAGTGCTTCCACCATTCCACGAGAATGGCATTAACAGTGGGGAAATGGAGGGCGTTTTTAAGAAAAATTGCCAGTGTAGATAAGCCCAAAGGTGCTTACTATGGAAGGAGTTGGTCTAGTGTTCAACCCCTTGTTTGGGTTTGCCATTCCCTGCTCTTCCCATCCCAGCCCATGTGCTCACTATTCTCCTACCCTGTAGCTGACTGAACTACTTACTGCTTTTAGAGTAGCCGCCATGTTAGTCTGTATCCGCAAAAAGAAAAGGAGTATTTGTGGCACCTTAGAGACTAACAAATTTATTTGAGCATAAGCTTTCATGAGCTACAGCTCACTTCATCGGATGCATGCTGTGGGTAGTACATCCCACTCCCTGAGCATTGTACTTATGGGAGTGCACGTGAGAGAAGGAGGGAGGAGCAAGTACATGCCTTTCTAAGGTAAGGGCAAGAAGATTTTGGGGGAGTGGAATGGATGTTCAGCTGGGAAGCTGCACTCTTTCTTACCTTCTGAGATAAAGGTGAACCAAGCTGGAGTAGGCATGTGAGGTGTGATGGGGTCAGTGTGGCCTGGGGCAGGGTGGAATCGCTGCAGAGAGCTCCAGTGCATTTGGAGTGATGCAACAGGGGGAGAGAGAGAGACTTTCCCAGTGTTTGACAGGAATGTGTGTGCCTAATTTGTAGGGAAAACTGTTTTCAGAGAAATGTAATTTTGTATTTATTCCTCTGGAGACAGTAGAATGTATGAATACAAAACAACTTTGATGCTGTAGTCCTCTCTGCTTTCATGTGTGGGTAGTACCGCCTATTCAGAGACTCTTTCAGAGACTAGCTGAGAGATGTCAGCCCTAAAGCCTGGTCATTTCAGGCAGGAAAAGCATCCAGAGTGGAGTGGGTATCTACCTGTAAAATCCCTAGCACCCAGACAAGGTTGGAACAGCTGAGTAGATGAGAGCACAGCTTGATATTTCTTTAAAGCTGTCCCTGGCTGACAGAGCATCCTCCCACAACACTGGTAAACAGCACATGGCAAATAGCAAGCACTGCCTTGCACTTCTTCCCACGCTTGCAGCAGCACCAACACTGGGAGCAACAACTGACACAAGCCAATGAATCGCAATGCAGTCCAGCTTGTAAAGCAATGAGTTTAGGACCCAGCCAGTGTGTTTGGTCAGTCACTTCCTGACTCTATGCATTCTCCCATGCTGCTAATGACTTCCCTATGCAGTAATCTGCTTCCAAGCCTCTCACAGCTGCCAGAGAAAAACCTTTATTCAAAAAAAAATCCCCAAACCTGTAAATGTATTCATGATATAGCCCTTGACTTTGGGAGCTGAGGGATTCCCCAGTAGAAAACGCCATAGTGCTAAAAGCTGCAGGCTCTCAATCAATGCCATTGAAGAGTGGGGTGTGTGATCTTACAGAGCCTGTGCAGCCACAGAAATACCAACTTCCATCAGAAATCTTGCCTTGGGGGTAGGGGAAGTGAGTAGGCTCCCCACAGTCCCCTGCAATTTTTCCTCTTGTGATTCTGCTGTAAATTGAACCCTGCATACATCCGGTTTTGAAACAGGAACCAGTCACTCTTTGGCTGTGTTTTCTAAATCCATCCAAGGCATGAGAGTGAGTGAGTGAGTGAATAGAACGGTGGCTTCAGAGCCTTTCAGTGCCCCAAGACTCCCAGCAATCTGCATGGCAAAGCTGTTTTGTATAGCCTGCAGCAGCAGTTCATAGTTAGTTGAAGGGCCTGGGTCTAGGTATGCATGGGCCCTTTGAAGCTAACACGCAAGGGATTGATGAAGAGTATTCCGCAGAGCTTTTTCCATCTCTGACTGTGAAGGGACATCATCCCTGAGGCTCCTCCTTGCAAAGTGGAACCTGTTTAAAGTGTACTGGGGCCCAAGTATGCTCCTTAAAGGTGTCTGTCAAAATAAAAAGAAAAAAACTGGTTTATGTGCCTTCCTGCTGGCTCATGGTGGATAAAAAAGTCGTGAAGTTATTTTTTAATGGTTTTGAAAGCTGGTAGTACAAAGGTTTGTACTTGTGGTTGGGCATGCTAAGTCTGCTTTTCTCTGGGTTTACTGGACTCATTGAAGAACACCCCTTTGTGGGTCTCAAAGGGATGTATTTGTAGCATTCTCAGCCCTTAATTGAGGGTACAGCAGTTTAGAATCTGTAGCAGACTTTTTTTCTGAGTGCTCTCTCAGACATTTGACTTAAAGGTGACCTGAACGTAGATATATTTTTAAGTTGGACTTGTATCCTTTTCACTTCTTTATGATGTCTACAGAGGTCCAGAATGTTTTTTTTTTTAAAGTGTTTTTCTCCTTTTTTAATTTTATCTTAAAAAAATCAGGGATGTCAAGTATAGTCTTCCCTGGTTTTGCTGGAGGAATTCTTTGGAAGGAGGGGCTCAAGTGTGAATTGGGAACTCTCTCACCTTAACTGAAAGGCCAGAGAGAGTTAGATCTTTAACAAAAACTTCCTTTAGCTGTGATGTTTGTTAGACATTAGCATTAAATAGATGTTAACAAAAACAAAAAAAATTACAAAGTCCCTTTCTTTCTCAGATGCCTGACTTCCACTCCCATGGCTCTTGTGATGTCGTCATTTCATTAGTTTTTTAGGAATTCTGGAGTTTTCAGGGCAAACAAGATCGGAATTTCAAACATGAAGGGTTCATTTTCTGTTTGCTTTTTTTTAGGCAACAACCCAGCAACCTTGACACCTTGCTGTGGAAGGGAAGATTGTACATTCTTTTTCAATATTCAAGTAGTACTCAAAGGATTGGTGCTCCGTTGTGCTAGGTTCACTGTACAGACATGGATGAAGACAGAGTCGGTGCCCTGAAGCACTTAATCTAAAAATCTAAGCCTAACAAAGGGTAGGGAAAGAGATATCCATATTTGAGTTACTTTCTTAGGCAAGAATGTCTGAGAAAAGGCATAAGGAATCCATATTGATGGAGTTCTCTGAAACAGCCTGAATGCTACAGGTTCTTTTTGTGCACCAGTGCTGGAAGATCCGAGGGGGCTATGCACAAACTGAACTCTGTTAAAGTTCTGCTGATTGCTTTCCTGTTTCGATTAAATATTTAATGCCTTAATAGGGGAAATATAAAACATGCTTTTTATTCCCCTCCCGCTGCTCCAATATATTATATGATCAAGGAGACTCTCCACCCAGTGGAGCAGGACTGGATACAGCCCCACTGTGGACAACACCACCATCCTGTCTGTCACTCAGACTTGTAACCTAGTTGTCATCTTCAACGCAGACCTCTCTCTAGGTCTTCTCTCTTCCAGGCCAGCTCTAAATGTTGCTGATTCTTTCTGCATGACATTTCTAAGATGTGACCTTTCCTATTCATCCACACAGCTGAAACTCTCAGCCAGAGTCTCATCATCTCGTCTCGACTACAGCACCATCCTTCTCTATGGCCTTGACAAATGCTTATCTCCTGCTCACATCCATTCAGGAGTCTGCTGCAAAGATCATTTTCCTGGCCCGTCACTTTGACCATGTCACCCCTTCTTTGAATCCCTCCACTGGCTCTCCTTTCTCTAATGTATCAAACATAAACTACTTGTCTTCTCTTTGAAGGCCCTTCGTGGCCTAACCACACCTTACCTCATTCACACTTAGACATCTCTATAGTAAAACCAACTTGAGGTTAATTGAACAGAGCTTGAGATAAAGATTCAAATAAAAGCAATTATGAGGATTTAAAAACATTGGGTTTTTAAAAGAGAAACATAGCAGGGGGACTCAAACTCCCAGCCTGTGCGGGCCATCTGTGGCCCACAAGCCTCCCCAATATGGCCCGCAGGGCTCCAGCAGGTTTGGGGCCGGGTCTCTCCCTTGGCCCCACCTGCCACCCCCGGGCACTCCCCACCAGGGGCCCTGGCAGCGCAGCAGAGCTGAGTGGCGTTTGCCTGCTCGCTCCAGTGGCTGCCGGCCCCTCCCTGCGGCCCAGGGGTGGGGCTGTGCCTCCATGTGCTACCCCTGGCCTGAGTGCCCCTGTGGCCAATGGGACGCTGTGGGGGCAGTGCCTGGGGGCAGCAGCATGTGGAGGCCCCCCCGGCCCACCCCTCCTTGGAGCCCAGGTAAGCGCCGCACTCCCCGACCCCCTCCCAGAGCTTGCAACCCCCCCCGCCCCCAAACTCCCTCCCAGAGCCTGCACACCCTCCCCACACACCCCCAGCCCCCAAACTCCATCCCAGAGCCTGCACCCCAGACCCCCTTCTGCACCCAAACTCCCTCACAGAGCCTGCACCCCAGTCCCCTACCCCAGACCTCCTCCCCCACCCAGATTCCCTCCCAGAGCCTTTGGCAGGTGGGGGGTGGAGTTGTGGGGGGCGGGTTCTGGGCAGCATGAGTGACATTATTGGCCCGCTGGGAGAATTTGAGGACTGGCACTGGCCCTAAGGTAAATTGAGTTTGAGATCCCTGCTCTATATCCTGTACTTAGTAACAGATTGCTTTCCTGACTAACAATGTATTCCTCACCCAAAGGTTAGTCCTTGCAGGGCTTGTCCTGTCTGAAGAGCTGGGATCCACTTTTCAGGAGCCAGCTTGCCGGCAGAGAGTCTCCAACCTGGGTCATTTCTTCGGCTCTTATAAAGGTACAAGCTATTGTTTCTTTGTCCAAGGGGCACCCTCTTCAGAGACCCTTCCTGGGGCTCCTTTGTGTTTGTCAGTGCTCAAGTCCTAACCTGGAATAGGTAGTAAACAGTGTTGTCTCCTCCAATATATTTGTTATTTTTACCACTGATTGAATAAGCCCTGAGACCCCGCCTTACTTCAGGTGACAGTCTCACTTCAACAGTTTTGCAACCTAATATTCTACATTTTACATAGCTCGTAAACTATTTCCCAGTCATCTCACAGTAACTGTGACAATCAGCTAGTTTTTAGCTTTCAACAGAGGCCACACACAGCCCCCTTCAGTATAATATTGAGAAGATGGTCAGACACAGGTGTAGTATACCTGCCTGGGCATGCCTTTGTCACATCTGCCCCCAGGAAAAGTTTCATTCTAACCCTCAAGATGCCTTCTGCCCTAAAGCAGGAGGTTTTGTATCTCTTCCCAAACTTTTTAATTTTGTAATATTTACTACTATAGCTCTGAATACTCTTCTTATTCATATAAATGTCTCATCCCTTTTTGAATACTGCTGAATTCATATGGCAATGAGTTCCACTGACTAACTTTGTATAGTATCAAAAAGTATTTTCTTTAATCGATTTGAATTTGATACCTTTCAGTTTCAATGAGTGTCTTCTTGTTTTTGTATCTCCTTGTTCTTGTGTTATCAGACAAAGTGAATGAAAATTCCTGATCTACCTTCTTTGAACTGTTGATTATTTTAGCGTGTTATCAAGTCTCTTCTTACTCTCCTCTCCTCGGCTTTCTCTACACTGGACTTTTGTCGGTAAAACTTTTGTCATTCAGGGGTGAGAAAAACACCTCCCACCCCCTGAACAACAAAAGTTTTACTGACAAAAAGCGCCGGCGTGAACAGCACTTTATCAGTGGGAGCGCTCTCCTGTTGACAAAGATACTGTTGCTCTTTGGGGGTGGAAGTTTTTTTTTATCAGTGGGAGAGCTGTTTCCTTTTGACAAATGTCGGCTACACGGTGTGCCTTTTAAGTGCATAGCTGTAGCGGCACAGCTGTGTCGCTGAAAGGTGCATAGTGTAGACAAAGCCTTAGGTAAACAAGTAGGGTTGCCAAACTCGCACAAAACCGAACACCTCTGCTCCGCCCCCTGCCCTGCCCTGCCCCTTCCCTGAGGCCACTCCCCTCCCTCGCTTTCCCCTAGCCTCACTCACTTTCACCGGGCTGAGGCAGGAGGTTGGGGTGCAGGAGGGGGGTGAGGGCTCCAGCCAGGGGTGTGGGCTCTGAGTTGGGGCCCAGAATGAGGGGTTCAGGGTGCGGGAGAGGGATCCTGGCTGGGGCAGGAGATTGGGGTCTGGGGGGGCGGTGAGGACTCCACCTGGGGGTGCAGGCTCCTGGGTGGGAGCAGGGATGAGGGATTTGGGGTGCAGGAGGGGGCTGGGGCAGGGTGTTGGAGTGGTGGTGGTGGGGGGTTGGCTCCAGGAGGGAGTTTGAGTGCAGGAGGGGATTGGGGCAGGGGGTTGGGGTGCAGGGTCCTGATGGTGCTTACTGCAGCTCCCAGGAAGCGGCCGCCAGATCCTTGTAGCCCCATGGCTCATGGGCAGCTAAGAAGGCTCCACGTGCTGCCCTTGTGCCTGCAGGCACAGCCCCCGCAGCTCCTATTGGTTGTGATTCCCGGCCAGTGGGAGCTGCAGAGCTGGCACTACAGGCGGGAGCAGCATGCGGTGCCTCTCCGGCCAACCATGCTCCTAGGGCAGGGGTGGGCAAACTTTTTGACCCAAGGGCCACATCTGGATGGGGAAATTGTATGTAGGGCTGGGGCAGGGGGTTTGGTTGCGGGAGGGAGTGTGGGGCGTGGGAGGGGGTGCGGTGTGCAGGAAGGGGCTCAGGGCAAGGGGTTGGGGTGTGGCAGGGGGCTCAGGGCAGGGGGTTGGGGGTGCAGGAGGCGGCTCAGGGTAGGGGTGCGAGGTGCAGGAGGGGTTCGGGGTGTGGGCTCCGGCCTGGCACTGCTTACCTCCAGTGGCTCCAGGGTGGCAGCGGTGCGCAGCGGGGCTAAGGCAGGCTCCCTCCTGGAGCATGCACCCCAAACCCCCTCCCGCACCCCAACCCCCTGCTCCAGTCCTGAGCCCCCCCCTTGCACCCAAACTCCCTTGCAGAGCCCACACCCCCTCATGCACCCCAACCCTGAGCCCCTTCACAGAGCCTGCACCCCTAACTGCACTGAGCTATCCCTCCCTCTTGACCCCTCCCCCCCCTGCACCCCAACCCCCTGCAGGAGGGGTGGGGAGGGATAGCTCAGTGGTTTGAGCATTGGCCTGCTAAACCCAGGGTTGTGAGTTCAGTCCTTGAGGGGGCCATTTAGGGATCTGGGGAGTTGGGAATTGGTCCTGCTTTGAGCAGGGGGTTGGACTAGATGACCTCCTGAGGTCCCTTCCAACCCTGATATTCTATGATTCTATGAACTTCTCCCTCACCCCAACCCCCTGCCCCATTCCAGAGCCCCGTCCTGCACCCAAACTCCCTCCCAGAGCTTGTACCCCTCCCCTCCTCCTGCACCCCAACCCCCTGCCCCAGGCTCAGCCTGGAGCCCCCTCCCACACTCTGAACCCCTCAGCCCCAGCCCAGAGCCTGCACCCCAACCCCCTGTCCCAGCCCGATGAAAGTGAGTGATGGTGCGGGAGAGCGAGGAAGTGAGGATGGGAGGATGGAGTGAGTGGGGCGGGGCCTCGGGGAAGGGGTGAGGTAGATCCGGGGTTGCACTTAAATTCAGAAAGTGATCTTGTGCTTAAAAAGTTTGGAGACCACTGCTATAAACAATCCCAAACTTCCCAATATTTCTTGATATAAGAGTTTTTTTTATGCCCTTCTTCTTTCCATCTGCCATCTCAGAACCCCTTTTCTAGTTCTGCTATATTCTTTTTGGGATTGTGTTACCAATATTGAACAGTTTATTGTGGGTGAGGGGATACCATTGATTTATAATTCTGTATTATTCTCCCTCTCATTCTTTATGGAGCTTTTTTTGATAGCTGCTGCATGTTAAGCATAGATTTTCAGTAAACTATCCACAGTAATGTCTGGGTCTTTTTCCTGAGTTGTAGGTGCAATTAATTTAGAACCCAGTATGAGTTGTTCAAATTATTCCTTTCAGTGTGCATTACTTTGCATTTATCAACATTAAATTTTACCTGTCATCGTGTTTCCCCATCACCTTGCTTGGTTAGGTCCTTCTGAAGTTTCTTTATTCTATTTGTGTCATTTAAATCCATTTGTAAGATACAGAAATAAGGTTTACTAGTCTGTAATTCCCCAGAACACCCCTTGCACCTCTTAAAAATACAGGCATAACATTTGCTATGCACAAGTCTCTAAACCATGTTCCATTGTGTCAACTGATCAGTGTATACTTGAGTATTTGAAGTCCTCCACTATTATCATTTTATCAGACTTTATTGCCAGTTTGATCTCTCTCAACATTATGTACTCAGTGTCCTTTTCCTGATTTTGGAGGCTGATATTAAAGGTCTACTAGCATATTTGTATTATTTGGATCTTTGTCTCACATCTGGGTCTTGGGTCCCAGGCTCTGCTGGTCTAGAAGTGAGACAGATCTTGATCATGAACTCAGAAGACCTAAGACTGTGTAGTTTCCCACCTTTATGGAATATTGCATACATGGAAGAAGCTTTGGAAGAGGCATTAACTAAATCATAGCTCTGTTATACCCAGTGCACTTGATGATATATTCACCCTTTCTTGGCACTTCTGTTCTGAAGGATATCTGGCTCCAGGATAACCAGGCCCAATAGTCATTAGAACAAAACCCTAACACTTTTTTTTCCCTTCTCTCCCTTCACCACCTAATTTATGGGCATTATTTAGTTCTGTTCTACCTGCAGCAGACAAGCAAGGTTGGATAACTGCTGTGTACTGCAGGCCATATCTTCCACTTGTCAGCAGCTGTGCAACATTATACAGTTTCCAGGTCTGTCTCTGTCTTCAGAGCTCCACCGATGCCCCATTCCCCGTTACTGCCTGTGTGATGAAGCAGTAGCCTTGCACATATACTTACCAATGGCAGAATGGAACTTTTTCTGGCATGGACTTGTAGAGCACCTGAAATTTAATGGCAGAGTTGTTTGCTGGTAAATTGGACTCTAAGTTTCCATTTTTACCCATAAACTTTTCTGTCAAATTAAGCAATGGTGCTGGGCTCTTGGATTCCCTGATGCGTCCAGTAATGAAGAGGATGTGTAATAGTGCCTGTAATTATAAGATCAGATGTTTGATGCAACATATGAATGCGCTCATCTCACAACGTTAAGGTGCCAGTATGCCTCCTTTGGTCAGTATCTCTTTATCAGCAAATACTTTAGTGCCCTCTTCATGTTGTCTGCTTTGCAAAACATTGTCTTCTGAGTGCTTTGCAACCTGCACCTGTGAACTTCTGTTGGGGTTGATGGAAGGTCAGGGCAGTCAAGCCAGAGTAACTTTTATTTTTACTCAAATGAGGTTGGGGAAAGGGTTGCCTGGTTTGAGAGAGAATTTCATTGTGATGGATTAACTTTCCCTTGAACGATTGCTTTATGGCACGTATGAATGAGAGATTGTAAATTGGCTGACAGCAGTGAACCCAACCAGTGTAATTAAAACCAGCTGTGTGGGTAGGGAGAGGGAGTGGGGGCAGGGGCGGGGGCGTGGGGCAGCCTCCGTCTTCAGTTTTCCTCAGCTGTGCTTCATTCTGCTTGTAGCCGGGTGTAACGTGCCCATAAGTCTGAGATTCCTACCAGGACAGAATGTATCCCTCCAATATGGTATAGTGCCATAAAGCTACATTAGCAAAAGACAAAGTGAAGTTCATGAGCAGTTTTCCAGGCCCCCCTGATTATAAGGTCCCAGGCATGTGCTGCCATACAGTGATGAGAGAGGATTCTGGGGACCTTTGAAAAGATATTACATTCTCACACTTTGCTCTACTATGATCAAAACCATGCGAATATTTCCT